CTCCTTGTGTATACGCTGCCACGGGGAATACTGGGTGCAGTGTGTACACAGACTAATTTACAAAAATACAATTTTCCGCAATTTATACGTGGGTGCGGCTTATACCCGTGGGAGGGCTATATGCGTGAAAATATGGTACGTCTGTTTCACTTCCAAGTCCGCCGCCGAGCTTGCGGGGCAGCCCTCCGCGCTCCTGTGGGACACTCCATCCACCCCAGCATCGCAGCGTTCACGAGCTACGCCTGGTACCTTGAGGTATGTAGAAAAAAACCATTTAAACTGTGTCTATGGCCAAATCGCTGATTCTCCAAATCAGCATCGAATCTTCAGATTCAGATTCAGCCGAATCGAATTGGGACAGTGATCCGAATCAACAAATTGAATCCCTGTCCCCAATTCAGGCCGAATCTGAATCGAATACAGTCCATTTTATACACCCCTATAAATTATGAATGTGGCCAAATATAGGATCTATAGAGCCAGAGAGGAGGTGTATTTAGTTTTAAATATTAAAACAATAGATACACTATATCCTAACAGCAATAAGGAATAGTATCCATTAAAGCTGGCTGTTGGTGTTGTCTGACATCATCTCCTTGTCTGCATGGCATATTAAACATACTCTATTGTACCTTACTGAAATACTGCAAGTGCTACCATCTCATTCATATACAGGAACAAAGTATAATATTTGTGAGAAAGGGAATCAACTAAGGCATGATGGTCATTGTCTCTCTAGGATTATTTTCCTGCATTGATTTAAAACCCAATTTTCAGAAAGTTGAGACCCAAGATCCATTTTTTTCATGTATGTAAACCTACACATTCAACAAATGAATAGACAACAGACCTCATCACTTCTTTGATTTCATGTGAACAGTTTCTGTACTAGGGAAATAAAAAAAATTTATGATCTATTGCCACAATTACAGAAGATGACCAGGAGAGATATTTAGTTGTTTCAATGCTACAGTAAAGTATAGAACATATTGACTGGGGAATAAAACCCTTTGTTACCTAATTTATCATTCCTTCATACCTGAGAAGTCACAAAAATATATACATCATAGTATCTCCACATGCAAATACATGCATATGCAGATACATAAATCCGATTTATTTTTCCTGCACAACTTGTAACCGTACGGAGCATGACTGACTTCCAAGATCATCATATGCTGAAACATTCCCATAAAAAAATGATAGCTTCAGTGCCATTTACCTGGAAACAGAACGTTTCTACAAATGTGTTTTATGAAGAATGCAAAGGGGAGAGAAAGGAGGGGTTGTATATACAGTATTTAAAAATATAATGTGGAAAATTTACTGGATTTGGCTCATACATACTTGGTTGCACCATCATCATAGGTTCCCATTAATACTATAGTTCCATCTTGAATGGACTTCAGGAATTCAATAAATGGTGCCACATCTGAAGAGAAACAGAATACACGAAATTACTTTATAATACGTAACTACACCTTATTAAGACATCCACAATGGTAACTAAATTTGAGGCATTCTTCATAAGAATATTGACAAATTAAGTAGAAAAAAAGAGGTGGCTAAGCTGATTGACTACTCTTTAATTGTATAGCTGCAGGTTCATCTATTCATTCTAGTGATATAATGACTGACTTTCCATTTAAATTCTAAATGGTAAAGATGCTGTTGCTCAGGTTGAGAAAGCAATCTCAGTACCAAATTAACACAAGGGGAAAATAAACCCAAATTATGTAATACAAGAACCATGTTAATCATCTAGAAAACATGTTTAATTCTTACCAGCATACTCGGTGTGCCATTTTGGCACAGGTAGATTTATAGAGCTTACTGTTAGAGAATATTGAGTATGACAGTTGGTCAGGAGAGCAAATGCTTTTGTATGCGTTGTATGTAGACAACAAAAGATTTTTGTGTTTCCTTTCAACTGTCCTCTCCTCATGACTATGACGGTATATATGAATTGACAGAATGATGGTCCATTTAGACAGGTAAAACAAGAAATCAGAGGCTATTTTTGCCATACAAGTTGTTTCTCCATAGGAAATACTTCATGACACTTACCTCCTCCCCACATGTCAAAATATTTGGTGTTCAATGCTTCTCCTGTTTTGCCTAGGAAAAAAAAAAAAAACAACACTTTTGGATATACATACATTTGGATACAAATAAACTTAGGGCCAGATTCTATTTCCCTTACTAGGCATGCAAGTTAATTTAGGAGCATAAATGCAGTGCTATTTCCCCGTTGCATGATTAGCTGAAAATCCACATATGCATCTATTTATACGTGGGTGGTTATTCAAGCATAATAACCCTGAAGACCTTCCAATGCTTTATGAGCATCAGGTGGTTCGAAATGCGCTAGGGAGGACCCCTTTTAAGTTAAGGAGCATATTCCACTGTGATTTAGTATTTCTGTATATATGGAAATGACTATGCTCTAGAAAATAATGAATTAGCCAAAGTGTTTTTTATTCAAATCAACAGGACTCTGGCAAAGATTCAATGCACTCATGAATAAGACCATACCAACAAATTATCCCAAACATTATATCAAAGTTCTTTTCATAAACAATATACTTAACGTAGTAGGTGACATTAAGAGTTCGGAAAGGCTCAAGAAGTGCTGCAAAAGACTATCAACTGTTATGTTTTCTTACACAAAGACTGCTTCTCTCTCTTATGGGTCACATCCAGACACGTGCCTCTTGCAGCGTTTCAAAGCCCTTTGAGATACTGCAAGAGGCATGTGTGGGAACAAAAAAACCCCAAAAACCTTCCCCATGCTGCAAATTTTCAGTATGGGGGCAAAATTAGACCCCTGGACCAGGGGTCAAAAAAATGCAGGGCAGGACATGATCCAGGACCGTGACCTGATGCACCAGAAGCTTGGGTCCTCCAACGAGACACTCTGGTAGCTAGCCAGAGCATCTCTATGGCTGACCCTTGCGCAAGCCCAGTGCTGAAGCATGCTGACTGCCTGAGCCCCATCTCCAACCCCCTCCCCAAGCCCCCCAGATCACTCCCTTGCCTGGCCCCATCCCCTGCCTGCCCCCCAAACCCCCCCGATCATTGCCCCACCCGGCCCCATTGCCTGCAGGCTCCTGCAGCACCCACATTGCTGCCCCACCCGGCCCCAGCATCCCAGCAATTAAAAAAAATAAATAAAAAGGAAGCCCCGCACTCACCAGAAGTAGCAGCAGCCAGCGGGGTCACTAGAGCCTCCTGGCAAAGCCCCCACACAGCATGGGGCAGCGGGGACCACCCTGGCCGCCTGGCACCTGCATTGCCACTGCCCTATTGCATGAGTGCAGCCTGGGTCGTCAGGTTGCCATGCAGCTCCGCACACTGTCAGGCAGCTGGGAACACTTGGGCTGAGCAGTGCTGGGTCCTGAGTGACAGCTACCAGTGGCCTGACAGTGTGCTGAGCCACATGGTGCCCTGCTGACCTGGGCCACACCTGCGCGATGGGGCAGTGGCAGTGCGGGTGCCAGGCGGCCGGGACTAGGGCCAGTCCCCACTGCCCCATGCTGTGTTGGGGGGGAGGGGGGAACCCAACTCTGCCAGGAGATTCCAGTGACTCTGACAGCTGCAACTACTGCCAGTGAGTGTGGGGCTTTTTGTTTTGTTTTTTAGGTGCTGGGAGGCTGGGGCCGGGTAGGGCAGCCACCAGGGGGCCTGGGGGTACAAGCAGGGGATGGGACCACATGGGGCAGCAGGAGCCGTCAGGGGCAGGGGCTGGGTAGGGCAGCAATCCGGGGCATTGGGAGAGCAAGTTGGGGTGGGGTAGTTCAAAGCAGGCCACCATAGTGAGAACATCTTCCAGGTGAAAGCAGGCAGGGGCACACATGGCAGTAGTGTCGCACAAAGACCAACTCTGCAGCCACAGCCCGCTGGCCCAGAGGGGCAGACACCTCTACTGGCTGTGCAGTCACCATCTGGGTCTGGCAGGTGTGCAGCCTTGAGACCACATGCTGTCACAGCTGGCAGGAGGTCATAGCCAGGCAGCAGCCCCCATTGCCAGACTGCTGCAGTGGGTAGAGGGTGCAGGGAACTCTCAGGGCTGCTTCAGCAGTCCAGCTGGCATAAGGAGTAGTGGCCCCAGGTACCAACTGGCTGGGCCCCAGAAGCTCCCGAGAACCCTAAGCTTTTTGTACTGATTGGACCAGGACAGGGCAGCTTTTTACATTACTGGGGCCAGCACAGGTGCTTGCCCCAAGCTCTAGCTCTCCCTGGCTACATATCCAGAAGGAGCCAAGCAGGGTTATTTTGCCCCAAGTGGCACAACTTGCACCACACTGAAGTGCACGCCCGGGCATGTGCGCTGAGGCAAAAAGCCCCAGCTCAAATTTGTACTGCTTCTATTGGAGCTGCTGCAAGCACACATGCTTGCATGTGTCAATATGCCCACAGTTACTATATTAAAATGCATTGAACAGACAAAACAGCTGCACTGGGGCATTGTCATTTTAGTGATTGAGCTACCATAGCAGTAGTAGCAGAATAAATATGGATATTTCAATTTTTATGGTGAAGTGTTAAGAAAGAAAACCCTAAACTACAGTTCCTTTGAGAAACCTCATCCTTGTATTTGCTTACTTAAAACAACAATAAGCTTTTACTACTACTGTCTCTGCTAGTGATGAAAGGTCCATACCACTATGGCTAAAACCATGTATGCTACATGACGAGTGATCTCTTAATGCCTGAAAATTCCATGGCCAATTAAATTAAAACATTGAGGATTTGAATGAATTTGACATGAACGTTAACAATACCAACAGTACCAGCACCAAGTCTTTACTTGCTACTTAGAACTTGATGCTGTTTTCAAAATTGATTTTTGCTAGATGTAGATTTGCGTGTTTTAATTGCATAATTGCATTGTTGAAATTGGCAGAGATGAGCTGAAAGGTCTGGCAGGCAGGAGTCAGTTGAAGAGTTTGGGCTCTGAGCAGCTCAGGGCAATTTAAGAGGGGAGTGAAAGCATATTAGCTGTGTGTTTCTCCTCAAAACAATTAATGAAATAGTTTAAATATCAGCATTTTTCTATCTTGTTATTATTAACAAAATTAATATACATATATGAACAGATAGTATGAAACTTTCAAAGCTAGTGCTTCTTACATAAGCAGAAAGACAAATCTAGCAGTGTAAAGAGATGAAAAATGTTTCACGTTTACTGCCTTTATAACCACGAAGAGATTTTAAAGAAAAAAAAAAAAACCCACCAAAAACTTAGGTTCTGGAACACAATCCTATAATCCTGTGAATATGCTATGATTCTGCAGTCACTCTCAACTGTAGAAAAATCCACTGGATTCTTACCTGGCATTATTAATGAAATATTGTTTCCATTAACTACAAGTAACAAAAGCTTTGGCCTTTTTAGTATTTACTACTTGCATAACATGCATTAAAAAAAAAAAAAGTTGAACATTTTAACCCCAGACTAAGTTTAGAAGTCTGGCAGTTTTTCATTTTACATGTTAACAAACATGAAGTAACCATGGGCCATACATAAGTACCATATTACTATAATTTTTCACAGATAGCTGAACGAAATTTAATTTCTACACTTGTACAAAGTAATTACAATGAGAAACAATGTTTCTTTTAACATAAATCAGAAGGCTGCCTCCTCCTGTTTTTCTCCCTTACTATTCTGGTTTCTCTTCTCCTTCCTTTTCTAAATACCGTAGGAACCATCTGAGAATGGTTCTTGGAATGAAAGCACTTAGCACATTTAAAACAAAAGCACTTACCATTTACTAATGCTACATTTATTCCTCTGCCAACATTATTCTTAACTCCGCTCATTAAACTGAAACAAAAAGAAATGTGGAATTGAATTATGACAAACTTCAGATCCAAATCATTTCATATTTTTAAAAAAGGCAAGACATAAAATGAACAGGTCCACCATTCTATACAGTTGCATAATCGACAAAAATAACCACAGAAAAGGCTTAGTTATATAAACAGATATCTGAGGAAAGGGAATATTAGGATTAAACTGATGGATGGAACTCCAAATTGAAAAAAAAGAGAGGTTAAGTCATCCCTGTTTAATTTAAACATTTAAATCTGTTGCCTTTTCTTAACATAGCTGTTTTTAATAGTCCCATATTTATATGCCTGGACACTTCATTTTCTTTCTTGTTTTTTTTTTAAAACATTCACTCCCTTTCAAAAAAAAGGTTTCGTTTTAAGAAGTAAAAAGAACTATTTCTGAAGATAGAAGTGTTAACTCAACTGAATAACTTTGAAGTAGAAGACTGGTACTACTCACTAAAGTAAGAACCTATTGAAAGATACAAGTTTAAAAAATAATTTTGATCAATAATAAAGTCTATATTCTTTTATTTTTCATATAATTTGGTAACATAAATGAAAGAAAATACATCCGAGTTTGGAAAGAATGCCAAAATGCTGAGTCTAAAAGCTTCTTCTAGTTCCTGGTCTCACATCAGAAGAGAAGAAAAGGGATATATTATAAAGTATTTAAATGCAATGAAATAAAGTTCCTTAGTATAGAAGACCCCCGACTTATGCGATACTGACTTTAGTGTGTCTCGTGTTTATGTGATTTTTTTTTTTTATTGGGGTCTGGACTGGAAAATGCCCCTTGAGATGCACATCATTCGCGTACATACTCAAACACTCGTGAGATTCACGTATATACGCAAACGCCTCACAAGACTTGCAGGCGGAAGCAAGCGGAGCTGTGCCGCCATTGTGGTAGCAGTATCTCAAGATGCATAGGTGAGACACTAGATACTCCTCTTAAAAGGCAATTCCACTGAGAAAAGGGGGGAAAAAAACCTATGACTAAGGTATGTCTGGGGTACACAACCCCTCACTATTCTATTATTTCCTATGGTGAAAGTCGTCCCAACTTATGTGAATTTGACTTGTGTGACATTCCCCTGGAATGCAACACTTGTGTAAACTGGGAGTCTACTGTATAAGGACAGATGGAGCAAAAGAGAAATTTGATAGAGAAAGATGAACCATGATTTTTTTTTTTTTTATGGGAAACTGACATCAGTGTAACTTTTAACCTGTGTGTTTTGCAACAATTTATCCCCTAGTGAATTGGAATCTAGGCTTTGGATACATGTTATTTTTATTTGACTGTGTATATACCCTTACGGAGCTATAAAAGTATTCATTTTCTAACCTGTTTGCAAGGCATACCCAACAATTGCAAAACACTGAACAGCTGTTCTTACTTCCAGCCAAGCAGAAAAGTGCACTTCCTCTTATTGCAATATCCAGATCAGAAAACATCAAATGCCATTTTCCCCTTCCCCTTTATTAACTAGAATAAGTAGAATCAAATAATATTACATATCCGTTCTACAGGTTTAGTTCTTTTTGAACCTGATAAATTCAGTCACTAGAAAAGAAATGACCTGTTGTGCCATTCTATATAAATAGATCTGAACGATCATCTTGAAACAGGAAACTTGTGTAAGCGGGTAAACTGAAGCAATTACTACAAAGCTGTACTGTTTAGAGTACGTTCTTTTAAAAGAGGCAAGGTCTTTCTCCACAGACTCCAGATGGCAGTAGCAGTCACCACGATGTATAAAGGTAATATGGTGAATGTCTCACAAGAGGGCAGCAACTTGTCAGTTGTAGAATTCTTATCCAAACTTATGGTCAACAGAACACAGACTTTTAAAACAGACGTTAAAGGCATCACACACACAAATGGTACAGATGTAAACTTTTAATTGCATGCATAAATAGACAGTCGCTCTCAGAGGATTTTTTTTTTGTCAGATGTATACAATAAGTAAGCGATCCCAGGACAGATCTTGTAGGATGAGTGCAGTTATCAAGAAGAAATATTTATTGCTTACTAGTAAATCCATGTTTTTTTTAAATCTCTTGCTCTAGTGAAGAATCTAGCATATTAGTTTCGTGAATCCTGCCATAAAAGACTCAAACTTCCTTAATCATATAGTTAAGACTTGAAAAATTAAGAAGTATTATGCATTTGTGGAGCTTAAAAAATCCTTGTAAATATTAAACCTCAGAGGCAAACATTATGAAAAACAAGTATATTTTATTATACCTATTTGACAGATTTGTAAAATGAGAGAGAGAGGTTAGCTGGAATACCCAAGGTAAAATAAGTCAGAGACAAGGGAAACAAAATCCAGTAGGGCCTTGATTCCCAGTTCTGTGCTAACTGTGGAACTACATTAGCTATCCGTACATTATAACTTCACATTAAATTTCATAAGATGTGATAAAGGGTTTGCTTTCTGTTGTGTTAACTTAAGTGGTGCTCTAACCTTGAGTATGATTTGAAAGTCAAGCGCCCC